TATATATCTCGCCAAGCTCTCTGGTCGGCGAGAGCAGAAGAACTGAAGAACAACCATCTGATGACTGCTTGCCTCCTGCTGGCCATGGACTCCAGCAATTCTTCTGTATCTCCTTCTTTTTGTCTCTGTTAGGATTTTTCGTGCTCAAATTGGCTATTTATTATTTGTGCATGTGTTGATTATTCTTGAGGTTATTTGGTGCTAATTTTTTGATCATTTTGTTTTGTGTACAGGGCACGAGCTATCCGAGTCTGAGCGTTGGAGAGCAGATATGTGCAGCGTTTATAATTCCCATTATTGCGGTGTTCGATTTTCTGATGTTTTCTTTTGCAAACTGCTTTGAGCACCAGCCCCCTCGTTACAACAAACATCGTTATGGTTCTGAACTTCTGGCTCGCCTTGCCCATCAAACTTGCTGTAATTCTCTCTTTTTGCATGCCCTTCTGGTATTTGGTGCGAAAAACTATTGTGCAGTTTAGATTGCACAAAAACTCTTCCTGAAAAAACCAAACATTGAGTAGTAGCAATTTCTTTTAAAATTTAAATATTGACAGCTCCCTTTTATAATGTGCAATGAAGATTTTATTCATTCTTTTGCCGAAGGTCTATAGTATCTCGGTAATAAATGTAGGAATATATCAAATCAGTACTATTTTTTTGACACGTTTCAATCCATGGGACCATGGAACACCTAAAACTAGGGTCCTCTCCTGTTTCCAGTGTGCCTACAGCCTAACTTGTTTTTGTTTTTATAGTTTAAAACTGAAATTTTTTTTATCATGTGTTCCTGTATCGAATTAAGCCTACCATGTGTTCTTTTTATATGCGTTGGGTTGTGGTGTGGTGGGATGTTTCGGTTGCAATTTCAAGTTATGAGATTTAGTTCCCATATCGGGAAGTATTGGATTTATTGTGGGATTTTTGTGGTCGCAGTACCTCTGGACCAGCTAGACCGCCGCAGCTGTCATATCTACCGTCTTTCTTGCTCTGTTTTTCAAACTCCACCGTCGTTCATCCTCATCACTTGCTCTGATTTACCATCCTTTTTTCCTTTCCACAAATTCTATAGCCGATATTGAGGCTAATCATTATAAGACGAAGAAGGAGTATGTATATGTAGAAAGAGACTTGCTGCAATCGTCTCAATGAAAGTGGAGAATGGTAAGGAAGACAGACGACGGCCATAGAAAGGAAGGAATGAAGGTGTTTCATATATAGTCCTAGAATCTGAAACGTGTCAAAAAAAAAAAAAATTACTGTTTTGAGATATATCCTACGTGGTATACCCGGGATATGGTAGACTTTCTCCTTCTTCTGGTAATGATGCAGTTACCGTCAATGAAGTTGAGGCATTGTGTGCGCTATTTAAGAATTTGAGCAGTTCTATAATCGACGATGGATTGATTCACAAGGTGATTTGTGCTTCTAGTGGAAGTTATATAGTGCTTTCAATGCTTGTGTGAATTTTCCTGATTTAAAGCAGCTCTGCTCTACATTGATATCGCACATACACCTTATCTTTTTACGTATTCAAAAAAAGAAGAAATCAATTAGGTTATATGCTAATTTTGGTCCCTCAACTTTAAAATTTTGTATAGTTTAACTTTCTTATTCACTCTTTTGGTCCTTTAATTATGAAAAATATACTCTTTAATCCTTCTATCAATTAGTTCATTAAGTATGTCTAAATATGTATATTTTTCAGCTCTCAATTTAAAAGTTTAAGGATTAAAAATATTCATATATAGATAGACTTAATCAACTAACTAATGAATGACTAAAAAAGTTAATTTTTCATAATTGAGGAAATAAAAAAGTGCCTAAAAAGTTGATGGATGAAAATTATGGAAAAACCTTAAAGTTAAGGACCAATTTTGGCATTTAACTGATCAATTAAGGAGTGATTTGTATTCATTTGGGGACTTAAACTTACCTATTTTCAACTAATTAATTAGTTGTTTATTTGTACCAATGGTATGTGTTTCCATCATGCATTTGTTGTTATTTAACATTGTGGTTATGCTTATAAATAATTTTTATGCAGGAACAACTTCAATTAGCATTGTTCCACAATCCAAATGTTGAGAATGTTTTTCTTGAGCGGGTAAGTAAATCCATTTCGAAAATTTCAACCTGTCTTCAGTCTTGTTTAGAGCTCTACTAACATTAATTTGATCATAACTTTTAATTTTCAAATCTTTAGATGCTTTTTAGGGTGACTATATATATATCTTTTTTTTTTTTTTTCTTTTGTAGGTTTTTGATCTTTTTGATGAGAAGAGAAATGGTGTTATTGAATTTGAGGAATTTGTTCATGGCTTCAGTGTCTTCCATCCCAATGCCCCTATGGAAGAAAAAATTGATTGTAAGGCTTCAGTTGAAATCAACTGCTGCGATCATAACAACTAATTAACATCCTTACCCTTGTTAATTGTTTGTAGTTGCATTTCGGCTTTATGATCTGAGACAAACTGGCTTTATTGAGTGGGAGGAAGTGAGTATATATGTTAATGCATCATTGTTAAAGTTGGATATATATATATATATATAATATGTGGTCCTTCAATAACAAATACAGGGCTTTAAGCTAATTTGCTCTACGTTAAATTCAGGTTAAGCAAATGGTAGCTGCTGTTTTGATGGAATTTGAAATTGAATTATCGGATGACCTCCTTGATGCTATTGTTGACAAGGTGCACTTCTCTCTAGAGTTGTAATTTTGCATGTAGTTATATATGTCACTTTGTAGAGCCTTTTGATATTAATGGGAGCTTCCTTTTTGTTGCAGACGTTTGCCGATGTAGATGCAGATGGGGATAGAAGAATCAATAAAGAAGAATGGAAGGCTTTTGTGGTCCGCAATCCAAGCGTCTTGAAGAATATGACTCTTCCTCATTTGATGCAATAAGTAGTCTCTCTTGTCTAGTTGTCTACCTTCGTAATCATACTCGGACATGCCAAAGTTACTGATTTTTTATGGCACATAAGAGTTGGAGGAAGCCATCACCAACGATTTGAATCTCTAATGAAAAGAGAGGATGAACTCTAGAATTTGGAGATTTCTAATTTTTATGGTTAAAGAGAGCCGCTTATACTTCAATCCAGCCTATTTTGTTTTTATTTATTTTAATGTATTTTTTTAATCAATCCAGACAGCATATGGTTGATTTTGGCAAGCCAATTCTCATCAAAATCAATCCATCGTGATAGCCTAGTGACAACTTAATTGGACAAAAGAGGTTATGTGTTGTCTGACTTGTCTCCTTTGGATGGCAACGTAACTCACACATGAGTCATGTGACTTTTTTCCATTAATTTGGGCACAAATTCTCAAAATCGTAGGGTTAATATAAGGAGCTTAAAGTTATAATTTTATAGTTTGAGCAAATTTAGGTTTAAACTTAGAAAGTTGAGGGGCCAAATGGTAATTTTCGCCTAGAGGCTTTGCTTACCATCTCCGCTGACGTACACCTCCCTCCTCCACCGAATACATCTGTCATCTGATAAGATTAAGTTAGTGATAATTACGCAATTTCCTGTTTGTTATTTTTGAGAATCTTTGCTCTAATGATTCAATCCTGGACATCATTCCTTATCAATTTGACTTCTAAGTTCCCATTAAAACAATTGGACTTCTAAGCTCAAAATAGTACTGTAGTGATAATAACTTTATTTATTTTAAATATTTAAGTGGTAGTATTTTTAGTAAAAATAATAAATTTTAAATTTATATTGCATTACGTAGAACTAAACTAAGGATTTGAGATTGTATTTTGAGTGGTTTTTCCACGTAGCCACGTGATACTTTTAAAAATGTAGATATTTGATAAATTTTTTAGATGTTGCTTCGCTGAAAAGCTGAAAAAAAAATTACAGTAGTGTTACTTCAATTTTGAAGTCTTTTAGCTATGCTTTCATAGATATAGCATTACTAAGTTTACTTCAATTCCAAAATTGCTCATTTATCAATTTAATTATTTACAATAATCTTAAAATCATCCCTTCCGATTTTCTTCACCAGTGCTCCCTTCTCCCCTCTCCATTCAATCCCATGCCTTCCGATTATTTTCCCCCTTGGTTGTCTTCTCTGTCTGCAGCATTAACAACAACACTTGTTTTGTTCTCTATCGGCAACAGTATCAACCCTGCCCCCTAGTTGCCTTCTCTGTAAGCACCTCCACAGCAACATGGTTCTCTCGCCTG